ATGCTAAAAGAACATTCTTGAGCGATTAGGTATAGAAACTATTAGTTCTCTTTGGCTATTCTGTCAAGGGGTATGCTGTACCTTTAAGATATGCTGTTGTCATTTAACAAAAATAGCTATCTGACATAATTTCTCCTCATGGTCCCATTGGCCTTCTTGACAACCATCCAAGCTCTTATGTAACATCGAGATGCTATGTAGGCTTCCTCGGGGATTGTGCATTAACTACTACATTATTACTGATACATATTGAAATAATTTAAATGAAAATTGTATTTTTCAAAAGAAATGTAGAATGGAAAAATAATCTAATTTAATCAATTTAAAATTGAAAATAGAAATACAATGTAAAAATAAAATGAAAAAGGACTTGATATCAATGCAAAATATAGGAATCGATAAGTTATCAAACACTCAATTTGTAAGGTCAGGGTTAAAGTCTGGAATGTTAGTTCCACGTATCAAACTGTTGCATATGTTGACAGCAGATACAAGTGTAAGTACATTGTTGAAGGCCTTTCCAGGTAGCACCATGGGCCTATATAGTCCTACACATCACTGCAAATTTAGTGGCCACAGAGTGGAAAGGAGGAAACTGTGGCTGTTGACAGTTTGGCTAATTATCAAAGTCAGCTAGAGAGATCCAGATCAGTTTGTCCTCACCCCACGACCATCACGGTGTACTGGGAATTTGCCTGGTTTCCCAATAACCATACCAAGCCTGATATGGGGGATTCCAAATGCACTTGGCATAGTGAATGAAACACATTTTTCGTGGTGGTGACAGTGCCACTTTAAGGTGCCCCATAAAAATAATATTAAGTTCTGATACCAATTTGTCATTATATACATGGAATCTCTTCCCTGATTCCCCAGTATGCATAAAATATTTTCTTAGCAAGTGCAACACTATTTGGCCATGTTTAATTGTTCATATCTAACACTTAATAAAAATAATAAGAAAAAATAATTCTCACAGCTTGTCATTTATACCCCCTGCCAGTTACATTTTTCATTCACAGACAAGACTGGTATAATGGTTGGGAAGGAGTGACTAGCACAGAGGGAAGAGCTCTCTCTAGCATGTAAGCTCATTGAGCAGTGCCCTTAACCCGTCTGTTCCTGTGAGTCCATTTGTCTAGTTCCAATTACGTGTCTGTTAGTCCTCCCATTGTACGGAATTTGCTGGCGCTATATAAATAAAATAATAAGAAGAAGAACAATGGCTGTGCATTGACAGGCCTATCTATGTTTAAAATAATCCAATGTAAAATAATAACCAAAAGACAAACAAAAGACAAACAGTTAAAAATGAATAAAAGAAAACGTGGGTCCCCAGACACCATTAACTTGGAGAGACCAGGCATATGGCCCCTTTACACTCACTATTGTGAGGGGTAGTCAAAGCTAGATAACAACCACAACTATTAAACTAAAAGAGGTTCAAAATAATAACCTGATATGCACTTTAAGTCATGGCAAGTTACTCCATATTATTTTGCTAAGACCGCTAAATAGCGTTATTAGCAACTTCACTTATTTATTTAATCCTTCACTTGTTGGCAGCAGATGGGTAGTAGGGAGATGTCTAGCTCTCCAACTAATACCACAATACTACTGCTGTGGCTGTCCGTCGGCAGATTTTTGTAGCTAACTGATATTTATTGAGGTGAACACATGTGGTGCAAAGTGAGTCTGTTACGCTACTTGGGTGATTTGGCTTGGAACTCAACTGCAGCTTGTAAACCTCCCTAATTACATGAGAGAAGATACGGAGAAACTTTAAAGTATCAATACTGTAGCTTTAAGAAAATAGGGAATCGCTGGTAAATTGATTCAAACGAAGTTTTAATAAGTGTTAACTTAAATGATTGCATTTAGGCAATAATCCAATAAGAAGAAGTGCAAGTAATAGACAACACAAAGTTCATTATTAAAGGACCACTCTAGGCACCCAGACCACTTCAGCTTAATGAAGTGGTCTGGGTGCCAGGTCCAGCTAGGGTTAACCCATTCTTTTATAAACATAGCAGTTTCAGAGAAACTGCTATGTTTATAAATGGTTAAGTTTTCCTCTTCTCTAGCTGGCTGTCTCATTGACAGTTACTGAGGCGCTATGCGTTTCACTTTTCACAGTGAGAGCACGCCAGCGTCCATAGGAAAGCATTATGAATGCTTTCCTATGTGACCGGCTGAATGCTGAGCTCTTGCCGTGCGTGCGCATTCAGCCGACGGGGAGGAGAAGAGGAGGATCGGAGGAGGAGAGCTCCCTGCCCAGCGCTGGAAAAAGGTAAGTTTTTACCCCTTTCCCCTTTCCAGAGCCGGGCGGGAGGGGGTCCCTGAGGGTGGGGGCACCCTCAGGGCACTATAGTGCCAGGAAAACGAGTATGTTTTCCTGGCACTATAGTGGTCCTTTAAGTATTTCCTCAGAGATGCATTAAGTAACATTCTTTAGTTAATGAGAATAATCTTCAATAGTAATATTAAGCAAGTAGCTGGGAATAGTTGCAAAGCAAGAACAGTTCATAGCTAATAGACATGATGGGAGTTGTCTAGTTGCAAAGCAAGAACAGTTCATAGCTAATATGCATGATGGGAGTTGTCTTCCAAATAATTAGTAACTTGAAGCAGTGAGTGTAATTGCAAAGCAAGAAACAGTTCATCGTGAATGAGCATAGTAAATGAGCATGATGAGAGTTGTCCTCCAAATAATTAGTAGCTTGTAGTAGAGAACATTTCAGAAAGCAAGACTTAGTTCATTATTAAATGAGATTGTAGATAATTAGATGAGAGGTATACTTAAGGTTAGTTGTCCTCCAATGGTAAAGAGATAATGTCCACTTGTAAAGTAAGTTTCCGTTCTCCAGCATTCCTCTATAACATGAGCTTACTTGTCTTAGCCCGATGGCTAAGATAACATCAGAGCTTGAGAGCCGGCATCTTCCAGGAGCCGGCGTGTACACTCGGAAGTTGGACCCACATTGCAAGACCCTGTGGAGAGTTTAAGTCTGGCGTGAAGTAGTTCCCAGTAGCTGAGCCTTTGGAGAATGCGGTCTCGCGGAGGCAGCTCACACACAATCACCAAGCCCCCTCTCTCTGGCGCGGTCTCCCTAAATACCGTCAGAGTCGCGTCAGAGGGGGTGGGGTCCAGCTCCTCACAGCGGAGTGCCGAACCCGGAAGTGTTACCGCATGACAGAGTCCAAGTCAAATCAGGCAAAACAATCAAAAACCATTTTACTGTTTTTTTAAACATTAGGAATGGGAAAGGGAAAAGGGGGGAGGAGGTGAATGGTGAGGTTAGTTATCCATAATTGTGCAGCATTGGGAAATAAGGTGGGTGATAACGCATAGACATAAAGAGCATCCATGTTATACTAAGTCATGCCATAAAGATGACAGCATGGAAAACGTGAAACAGGTATTCTAAAGGGATAGCTTCAGACTGTCTTATGATTTTAATAGTTGGAGTGTGTGGCTCTTGTAGAGCACCACTAATAGTATTACACAATGGGTTCTTTCTTATTATGTTAATGGGAAACCCTCATCCATTATCCATGTTAGGATTGTTTGGAATCATTTCTAGTTTCCTCACTCTTTTATTAATACCCCATCCTACCACTAAGGGAATTGACTAGAAACTGGTGGGCAACAGCCTACCAGTCAATTTATTTAGACAATGCCAACTTTATAGACATCCGTGGTAAGAGTAGGTGGGGACTACAGGCAGGTCCTTCATTATTACATTAATGACAGCTCTCTACTATCTGACCATGGTTTGGAAAAGTTGTTTGAAAGCCCTGGTGGGTTCCTCCTTATTTTGCGAATACCATCATCCCACCACTAACGGTTGAGAAGCCACATGTGATTGAGTTATGAGGGTGAAAGATCAGATGAAGTAGTAAGATTGATTTACAATGATTTTGGTGCTTTGATTAGAAGCAAGCACTATTTTTTCATCTTCACTTATTCTTGATGTAGTTAGGTTATATTGATGTGGACGGCGTATGTTGTGTTTCTTTTCAAACAAGAACACTATAACAATCCAATATAATTTCACAGGATTCAACAAATTTCTACTGTTTTATTTGTTCTATTTTAATTGTATTCAGCATATCATTTGAATACGCTTTTTGAAGTATATAAAATTTAAATAAAACAGGCTTACATAATATCTAATAGCAGATGTGTGATAATTGAGAACTACCCTACTGCACTTAAACCAACCACATTTATTGTAATGTAATAAAATCTGCATTTGCCCTCAAAGAATTCCATTTGTTTTTCTGATACGGGATGCAGAAAAGCACAGTTCTTCATCCCATTGTGCTATAAAATGTCTGCTGTCATCGTAAGTCACAGTTACATGATAGTGTAATGTTTGTTTTCAAGGTTTCTGCATTAAACACATTTATGAATTCCATAGTCTGGAGCTGACAAAGAAGATAGAGTGTTCTACCACAGGCATTACGGAAAACACCAGTTTTATACTGAATGAATATTTCATGGTATTAGTTAAAAAATAAATCTATCATTAAAAGTTTTTAATAAAGCTATTTATCATTTAAGTATTATTTCTGATGTCTACTGTTGTGGAGATGCCCCCTTACATTTCTGCCAACAGAAAGATTCACTGCCGCCTGCTACAACCACTTGTGATAACAAACTAAACTCTATCATCCCTATCAGTAATCATTAAATACTTATGAATGTTTTTTTTTTACTGTATGTTTTATAAGCTTTTGTACACCCAGTATACAGAATTTTATTAATATGAGAGGAATACGACAAGTACAATAACTATGCACTGAATATGGGTATGAAGCAACAAGCACCATCATTTTCCTTTTTTCTCATAATATTTTACCACAATAACAAGATGGCTATATGAAGCTAATCCTCAACAACACAGTTTTTGCAAAGTTTGTAGATATCCAGAAAAATGGAATGCACTCCAGGGTCTTTGATTATGTAAATAAAATATAACTTTTAATTCATATTTAAAATAAAAGAATATACATCAACGTTTCGGCTCACATCAAATATTTGCCATGCTAAGGAAGGCTCCTGATGTGAGCCGAAACGTTGATGTATATTCTTTTATTTTAAATATGAATTAAGTTATATTTTATTTACATAATTAAAGATCCTGGAGTGCATTCCATTTTTCTGGATATCTATATATATGCTGTGCAGACAGCATGCTGATGAACAACATGGACGTCTTCAAATTTCTAGGGCAAGGTTTGCTGCCAATGGTCTGTGTTCCCAGGTGGGTTGACAGGTATCTGTAGACTGCCCTTCCTAGAGCCCTCTGAACTACAACCTCCCCAGGTGGCATGGCTGGCAAGCCCTGACATGGTAGGAATGTCCATGGATCACCAGAGGAGGTCAAAGTAAGTATTACAGCTGAAATAGCTGAAAAGAGACTTGTGTCCATCAAGTTCAGCCTTTCTCACATATGTTTTTGCCGTTGATCCAAAAAAAAGGCAAAAAACCCAGTCTGAAGTCCTTCCAATTTTGCAACAAACTAGGAAAAAAATCCTTCTTGACCCCAAAATGGCAGTCAGATATCTCCTTGGATCAAGAAGCTATTGCTCCACTAATTAGAAATGATATGCCTGCATATTATGTTTTTGCAAGTATTTATCCAATTGCTGTTTAAACATCGGTATGGACTCTGACAAAACCACCTTTTCCAGGCAGAGAATTCCACATACTTATTGTTCTTACTGTAAAAAACCTTTACTTTGATTTGTTGACCATGCCACCGCATTTTTATGTTTTTGATAATGCCACTAAAATTCGGGCTATATATATACGTACCTGAACAGTTATTAGCTTCTTTTACTAATGTTGCCCCCCAATAAGCCTTGAATATATATAATTTATGTTAGGGATAAATTATGTATTTAATTGCTAACTTTAGTATAAAATTAAACTTCTTTACTAACTAGACCCCCCATCATGCCAATTCTATGGGTAATAAAAAAAAATGAAACACTCACGCCCTACTCTCGCACACATCTTTTCCCCTTACTATATTATTAACAATGCATGGGGACACCCAAAATGGTAATCACCCCCCATGATGCAGACACACTGACTTCATTGGCACTCAATTGTATCTCGATACCTTCCAGTTTGTTCCTATATTACTCTAGTGAGATGTGCTTGCTAGAATAATAACCACAGCAACTACAGTGCATACAGATGCTAGGGAATAATAATGCTTAACATCCCTCATATAGCACCTTTTTTATCCTTTTAGGCAAATGGGTTCTTAGTTTATTAGAAAAATATATGCACAAATTGAAAGTATAGTTGGGTGAATTATTATATCCAAACCAGGAATGTACCCTTCTTTTTTTTTATTTTGATATTTACCACACTCCTTACTGATTCATCGACATGGAATTGGAAATATCTCAGTTGGTTAAGACACCCTGCTTTAGACTTATGGTGACAGTTTATTTTACATGCCAGCTCAAACATTTTCTATGCTTCTCGGGTCAATGAGACGAGCAACTAGAAATGACTAATCAAGACGATAGTTAAAAATTAATTTAATTTGTTCTTTCAGGCATTCTTTTTACCCAACCAATCAAAATGTACTATGAGCAAGCTTTACTTATGTGCCTCTTGACATAACAAATTACTTAAATGACACAGTGGTGGGTCCTTTCCATAGGTATGATGGGTCAACTAATTATATAAGTATCTCACAACCAACATTTTTTCTTGCTATTTATTTGATTTTCTTTTTTTTAATTTTCATTTCAGTGCCAAAATTTAATATAGAATTCATGCTAATATAGTGGGACCTCGGTTTACAAACGACTCGGTTAACATAATTTTCGGTTTACAAATGAAAATCCATTGAAAATAATGCCTCGGATTACAAATTTTTTTCACAATACAAAGCAAGTTTCCCCAGGATGCATTGCACTTTGGAGGTTTATAGCACTGCCCCCTGCATTCTGCAGCCTTGCCACGTTGAGTGTGGAGGTGTTGGAGCGGCTTTTGCATCGAGTTTTGGAGCTATTCTGGAAATTATTTGCAGTTGTTTTGGGACTTTTTGGTGCATTGCTCAAGCTGTGGAAAGGTAGGGAGCTGAGCTTTGTCGTTTGCATGCCTTTTATTGTGTGTTCTGCATTGTAGGTTGGTTTCCATGCCAGCTCATTTTGACTTTTTTCTGACCTCCAGACGCATTAATTGGTTTTCAATGCATTCCTATGGGAAACCGCATTTCGGTTTACAAATTTTTCGCAATAAGAAACGTGCCGGAGAACGCATTCAATTCGTAAACCGAGGTCCCACTGTACTCTTATAATCCAAGAATAGTGTTAGTGTTGAAATAACTGTGAGCTTCTTCATTACCAAAGCCCACCAGATGTCAACTTGCAGAATGGACATGTACAGAGCCTTTTTTTCTAGAATAACATAATAAATTATCTGTTTACAATGCATTCATCCCAATTTTTAGGAACGTGTATGCACAACACCATTTGGATCTTGACAAAGTCATAAGCAAAAATATTTCCAAGTTCTTGATTTGACATTGAAAGGGTTAAAATACATATATCTGCTTGAACACAGTTGTGTAAAACTGACTGACCTATGGACCGATATCTTTGTTTTAACACTATCATGTTATGGGTCTCCTGGGATGAAGAAGAACATCCTTGCTTTAAAATGTAATTGCTCACAGAATTTACACAAAAGAATGTTGATTCAGGGGGGAAATCTGATTGCAATTATAAGAAGCAGGATCACTTTACCCATTTATTACATACAAATGTTATATTCACTTCCTGATTGTTTGCTTGTGGATCAGTACAACTCTAGTTATTATAAGGGAAAGTGGATGTCATTCTGTAGAAAGTTTTGGTTTGTATGACATTGGATAACGACAAGGCTACTATAGTAGAGTTTAAGAGAGGACACACAATGGAATATTTTAAAGAAAAAGTGATGAATGGCTATTGGATGGGAACATTTACCTGGCTAACTGATGGCTATTGTAGAGAACAGTATTTAAAGACATTGGACCAATCCTACAACTAAAAGCCAGTTAGTTTAAGTATCTGTGATACTGGGATGTGGATATTGCTGTATTGTAGAGTGTTTGGTATATTTGAAGTGTGGAACATATATGTTATTTAAGCATGTGTTTAACAGCCAACAAATGCTTTTTTTTTACCCATCACTACCATATAGGATGGACATAATCCATACTGATAATTGGGAGTTGCAATCCCTTCCTTATCAATGCAGATCAGGAGAAGGTGGTCTCTGGGTTCTCGGAGAGCCTAGTATTTGTAATTTTGCTTCCAAATGGTTTGACAATAAATTGGTTCAGTGCCAGGATTCTTTTTTGTAGTTTGTAATTGTTTGTAGTGGATTGCAGGATAAAACTTACAAGGAAAGGTTAAAGGAACTTAACATGTATAGCTTGGAGGAAAACAAGACAGGGGGATATAATAGAAACATTTAAATACATAAAGGGAATCAACACAGTAAAGGAGGAGACTATATTTAAAAGAAGAAAAACTACCACAACAAGAGGACATGGTCTTAAATTAGAGGGACAAAGGTTTAAAAATAATATCAGGAAGTATTACTTTACTGAGAGGGTAGTGGATGCATGGAATAGCCTTCCAGCTGAAGTGTTAGAGGTTAACACAGTAAACGAGTTTAAGCATGCGTGGGATAGGCATAAGGCTATCCTAACTATTAGATAAGGGCAGGGACTAATGAAAGTATTTAGAAAATTGGGCAGACAAGATGGGCTAAATGGTTCTTATGTTTCTATGGTTATGGTGTATAGTGTTTATTTAATTTGTCTTTGGTAAAATAATAGTAGATAATCTAAGTTTACAAATTTTCTGGTAGGAGCAAAGCACCTACTATCCTTAGTTGGGCCTTGGGGAAAGTGGCACGCCATTTCCATAAACTGATTTTTCCACTTGGTAGATATACGAATGAGAAAAACGCCATGCTAGTTTTAGAATTTGGTCCTTTTGAATTACAACCGTTAAGGTTTTAACATATTTATTTAAAACTAGTGCTCCGTTGCACTTGAATTAATAGAACTGTCATCTAAATGTAAACACAGCTGCAATGTCTTATTTAATAAGGTTGTGGAAAGGGGTCAGTTGGGACTACGCTTACATTAAAACACTGGGAGATATCCCGGGCAGGTGATTTAAATATGACAAACTTATTTGGGATGTGAAGAGGGTGTACTTGTCAGGATTACTAGTTGATTCAGCACACAGAATAATATCACACCTAGGACTGGGATAACGTATAACCGGACCATAGAATGGCCGGACTTAACGTATCCAAGAATAGTCAGAATACTTGCCGAGGTCAGGGATATAGAATGAGACACAACAATGAGGGAAAACCAAAAGTCAAAGATACCAGAAATCAGGGAAGTCAAAACGAAGCCAAAGTCAAATACCAGAAATAATACAGGAACACTTTCTCGGATAATCAGCAAAGGGAAACCACGACAGGGCACTGAAAAAAAGGTAATTTGGGATAAATAACCCTCCTTAGTCTGCAATTGGCTCGTCTCTGCCCTCTAACCGCAAAAAAGGATATGGACGAAGGTAAGTTCTTTATAGAAGTCCGGTCAGCAGCAGCCAGCGTTCCAAAGAACGTAGCACCCGCTGGGGACCAGAACGGAGGGAGACCGGGTAGCTGCCTGCCGAGCCCTAGGTAAGTTGAAAACATCTCTGACGACGTGGCTGCTATGTTTGAGTGCAGCCACGCCGGCCGAGATGTCGGAGTCCGTGACAGTACTAGACAATTAAATTTGAGCTTTGGCTTATAGAAGGGAAGAGAAGGGGCAAGAATGTCTATTACTATTTTGAATATTCAGAAGTTACAGGAAAGCTCTCTTTATAATAATTTGGGCTGTTTGTAGATTCTTTAGGTCAAACAAAATGTGTTATAAGGTGAAAAAGGGTAGTTAATTACTATTCTGTGTTATGACTTTTCAATGTTTGTGGTTAGCCATAAAATGAGTTGGTGTGTTAACTACATAAAGAGAGGATGGCATTAATAACTCTACTGTTATTGTCTGGACATGTCTG